ATAGCCATAGTCCCCTAAGACAGGGAGAAAAAAAGACTAGCACAGCTCCTTGTGTAAGCCTGAGATTTAGCAATGGGTTTTATATCTCTCCTCCTTCCAAAAGGAGATACTCCAGTTAGATTTAAAAGATATGGTCAGGTTAGGTTAGGTTTAAAAATGAGACAAATGTAAATCACAAATTAATAGCTCAGAAATCACCTGATGATTTCCATTTAAAACAAACTTACGCTTTTTTTATATTGATTTTTTTTAGATATAAATGTCTAGGTCCAATTGGGAATTTCTACGTAAAGCCAACTCATTGGCTTTAAAGATCTATCTATTCCATTATTTTTTCATCAAACATGAGAAAATGATATGAACAACGGAATATTATGCAGCCATCAAAAAACGGAATCTTGCCATTTGCAACGATGTGGATAGAACTAGAGGGTATTATGCTAAGCGAAATAAGTCAATCAGAGAAAGACAAGTATCATAAGATCTCACTGATATGAGGAATTCTTAATCTCAGGAAACAAACTGAGGATTACTGGAGTGGTGGGGGTGGGAGGGATGGGGTGGCTGGGTGATGGACATTGGGGAGGGTACGTGCTATGGAGAACGCTGTGAGTTGTGTAAGACTGATGAATCACAGACCTGTACCTCTGAAACAAATAATACATTATATGTTAAAAAAAAAAAAAAGAAGAAGATAGTAGGAAGGGAAAAATGAAGAGGGGGACATCTGAGGGGGAGACGAACCATGAGAGACTATGGACTCTGAGAAATAAACTGAGGGTTTTAGAGGGGAGGGGGGTGGGGGGATGGGTCAGCCTGGTGATGGGTATTAAGGAGGGCACGTATTGAATGGAGCACTGGGTGTTATACACAAACAATGAATCATGGAACACTACATCAAAAACTAATGATGTAATATATGTTGACTAACGTAACATAATAAAATAAAACTAAAAAAAAAAAAAAGAAAATGATATGAAAATCACCTGATCAAAAAAGCCCTCAACATTTGTGTTTCAGCTGTTACCCATCTTGAGTAGGCAGACATTCTTAAAATAATTATTATCATGGCTTTGAAGAAATATACATTTTTTTGCTAAACCCCAGTTGGCGCTTTTAAGAACAAATTTCATTACAACATGGATGGACCCAGAGGGTATTATGCTAAGTGAAATAAATCCGAGAAAGATGAATACCATATGATTTCACTTATATGTGGAATCTAAAAAACAAAACAAATGAACAAACAAATGAAACGAACAAACGAACAAAAAGGAGAAACAAATCTGTAAATACAGAGAACAAACTGACGGTTGCAGAGGGAAGGGAAGCGGGGGAATGGGCAAAATGGGTGAAGGGGAGAGGGAGATACAGGCTTCCAGTTTTGGAATGAATAAGTGACAGGGATGAAATGTACAGAACAGAGAACATAGTCCATGGTGTTGTAATAGCATTGTATGGTGGCAGATGGTAGCTACACTTGCGGTGAGCGTAGCATAACATAGAGAGTTGTCAAATCACTATGTAGTATACCTGAAACCAAATGCAACGTTTGTCAACAATGCTTCAATGAAAAAAAAGAAAAAAAAGAAAGCAAAGAATATGGTGTCCTTCCCACAAGTAGGGCACAATGACACAATGAGATATAATGAGTTTAAAAAAAAGAACAAATGTCAACTAAAGCAACTAGTCCATTAATTTCTCATAGTATGTGGAAGTTGAAATAAAAAATTTTCTGGTATTTGTAATATTCAGGTATGCATGGAAACAAATGTAATTTAGTAGCCTATTAAAACAAGGTTTACTGTCTTTTATCTAGTTCTAAGTTGTTCTGAAAGTCCCAGATACAATTTTTTTTGTTGTATTTCTGACACTTTAGATCTTATTGCCCAATATGGAGATAAAACTCCCATTTATTTCCCAAATAGTTGTTGAAGTAAATTGCAATGGACATTTGTCAGATATTGTACAATTTGCAAAAATATTTTCCTATTTGCTTTGCCCCTCAGGATAACCTTCGAAAACAGTGTATTTCTTTTCCCATACTACAGACGAAGACACTGAAGTTTAGAGGGATTGGGGGCTCAAGCCCTGTTGATCCAACACTAGAACTTGTGCTTTCCACATTACATGATACTGGAGCCATCTGAAAGAGTTTATAAGGAAAGATTCATAGTGGAGATTATTAAAAAAAACTACACAGGCGTTAAAGGATATTCGGAGGGAAAGTTTGCAGGATACCTAGTAAGCAATGGCGGAAGAGCAAAATATGAGCAAGACAATGAGCAAGCAGCGGTACCTGCGTTCCCATACGGTTTCCAAAGTGTTCCCTATACCATTGCCTTCTAAGCATCACAGTGACCCATTGAGACAAGGCTGATATATTTGTTCTGTCTCACAGATGAAGAGACTGAGGTCTCCAGGCTTAAAGGTGACAGCTGAAATCAGAATTTGAGTTTTCTGTTCTAGTTCAGTTTTCTTTCACTGCAAGAATGGGTTTCAAAATATGGCCCTCAGCCCTGCCCAGAGTGTTCCTGATGGCTGCAAAGCAATCTAAAATAGCTCTGGGGCCTTGTTTTATAACATCTTGTTGTGGAAACTCTTACCCATTTCTTAATGAGTAAAATTAAGTGATTTATGAAATCTTCCAATTGGTTGATGTTGTTCTTATCCCCAAGTTCTTTATCCAGCGGGTAGGCTGATTCTGTGGACATAGTTTCGTTTAGTTTAGTTTTCTTTTTTTTTTTAAAGTAATCTCTACACCCACCATGGGATTTGAACTCATGATCCTGAGATCAAGAGTCACATGTTCTACCGACTGAGCCAGCCAGGTGTCCCATATGTGGACATAGTTAAAAGGAGTTTGTCTGCCCAAGTTCAGCAATATTTAGGACCCAAAGCACCACACACTTCGTAAACACACCTAGTAGGAAAAAGGCTTAAATAAATATTTCTGCTCCATTCCGCCTCACTGTTTAGGGACCTCTTCTTGCTGCGCATCCCTCTGTGTTGCTGCTATCCTGACAGTCCTCCCAGTGCTCCTCGCCCACAGCCAAGAGTTCTCTGAGTTGGTTTACACCGTCATTGCCAGGAATGAGTAACGACGGTTCTAGGAAAATGATGGTGCAAGAGTTTGAGGACAGGAGGACCCCCTATATCAGATACCACTAGAAAGGCACGGGCTATGCCAATGTATCCAATAAGTGCACATCTGCAGTCAGAAAATCAGGAGAGAAGCTGTTGTTTCTCTATGTTGAAATTTTGTGTGTTTTTAGTTTAATGTTGTTTCCATATTGCAGTATATTTAGAAGGGAGGCACTGTAATCCTTCCAGTGCTTGGGCCTCCGGAGACCTGAATCCTATCTTGGCTAAGGACACAAGGCACAGTTCTTAGCGGTGTCACAGGTAAAAAATGGGGAGTTGTCGGCATGTATCTCATGCTTCTTTCAGCTGTTGTTAGGAAATGTAGTCCTCAAATTAGTCTCCACCATAAGTCTCTGCTATAGGTGATTAAAAATAGATAGGGAGGAGAGAAGGTTATAGTTGCAGTTTGCAGGACATAAAAAATGCACATGCTGCTAAATTGTGCAAGCCACAGAGAACACTTCTCACAGGTGTTCCACTCGGCAGAGGTTACTCATTTGCCTCCAAGTGCAATCCAAGGTGTTGACTTGGGCCCCTGTCCCTTTCCCCTTTACCTTAGACAGCTAGAGATACCAGTACTTATCTGAGCTCAGTAGCAACCACACTGTTCCCAATTCTGAAGTGCAGGGCACTGGAACTGGGTGTTTTTCTCAAGGAAGGCTTTTGCCTCTGGAATTTCCTGCCTGTCCCAGTCTGCCAGAACCCCACCTTACTGACCGTCAGGGACTCATGAAAGACTTGTTTTCAGTATAAGTTTCACCGATGGGAGGAGACCTTAAGGCCATAATTTTGTAAAAGATAACTTAAGCAATTATCATAGCTCATGATATGTGGGTTCTAATGATTTAAGTTTGGTGCTTGCTTTCTGTATACAGCAGTTTCAAATAGGGAACAGTTTTAAGAATAAACATACCTATAAGTAAGTGTCTGTCCTTAGTCATGAGTCAGTGAGAATGCATACCTGGATATGAAGATATTTAGAATTCTAAATATATAAAAACTATCTGTCAGATTGATACTCCTTCTCCTGCTGGTAGCTCAGGTGTGCTGGTCCTTGCAATAACGCTGAATTCCAAGGTGGGTAATAAACACAACCTGCTCCTTTAGAAAGCTCTAGGATGCTGTGCGTGTGCTTGTCAAATCTCAAACCCACCCTGGAGAGCAGCACCGGCTTTGGCTGGATGCTAAGATATTTACTCTGGACGATTATGCCAAGACATTAACAGCTGCGGGCTTAATTATTGATGGAGTTAGTGTCAATCATCTGAGAAGAAAACCAAAGAATAATATTTTAAAATCACTTGTTAAAAAAAAAAAAAAATCTCTGCTCTATGGCACAGCTCTCTTGTCATTTATTAGTCTTGAACTTCTCCAGCCAAAGAAGTAATCTCATAAAACTGCTCTTCTAAAATTATTTTTCCTTGCCCCTTAAATGTTTTCTTTCCGAGCGCTCTCCCTTTCAGAACCCAGCACCTTGGCTGTTTGCACTACTTTCAGCAGATGCCCCACATCGGGGTAACCGATGGCATGTTTTAGTCTTGAAAACTTAAATAAACACGGAAAGAAATCCAGAGGAGCAGAAGCCCCCACCCGCAAGCCTTTCCGATCCGCGGCGCGGCTGCGATGCTTTCCGCGCTGCGGGCCTTCCCGGCTCCGCCAAAAATGCTCGGGCTGCTCAGTGTGGTCTTCGAGCCGAGAGCTGGTCAAAGAGGAAAAACAAATAGTTGGTCTGACGATCTCCAAGAAGAGTTTCACTCTGGCTCGACTAATATTTGACAGATCCGCCCCACCACGCCGCTTGGCATCCGGGTTTCGGGACCTCGGCCGTTGCCAAGAATTCTCGCAGGGGCTGGAGCCCCGAGGCCGAGGACCGCGCGGAGCCCCGGTCGGGACGGAGCCTCCTCTCCCTCGCAGTGCGCGCACGCCTGGAAAGGCGGGTTTTATAGGCAGCGATGCTGCGGGAGACTCTGCAGTGGCGACGGGCCCCCGAACGGTCCCGCCTCATTCGCCCTAGTGTGTGTGCCTCGCAAGTGCCTGCCTGGTAAACCCTCACCAGCTTCGGCGCGCGGCGGTGGCGTCGGCGGGTCCAAACGCCGGGGTCGCGAGCCGGGCCAGAGGGCCGGGCGCGCCCCGCGGGCCCCAGGCACACGCCCCTCACCTGGGCGAGGCAGGGCGCGCAGGCGCTCAGCGCTGGGGCCGCAGCCGGGAGCCTCAGCCCGGCGCCCGCCAGAGTTGGACAGTTTCGGGGCCGCGCCGGGCCGAACTGTCCCCGGCGCCGCCGCCGCCGCCGCCGCCGCCGCCCCGGGCTGCAATAGATAAGGGGAGAGCGTCTGCGCGGAGCCCCAGCGCAGCCCAGGCGGGACCGCCGCAGCCGCCGGAGCGCGAGCAACAGCTTCCCGGCTGGAGGAGCCACTGCCCCACGCGCCAGCGGCCGGCGCGCCGAGGTAAGCTCCGGGCGCCCAGCCCAGCCCAGCCCGACGCCCCGGGGACCCGCGCCGCCTTCCCGCCCCAGCCCGCCCGCCTCCTCCGGGCGCGAGCCGGCCCGGGGGCGCGCCGCCCGAGGGAATGGCCGGGAGCCCCCTCCCACTGGAGTTTGCACTTTGTCCGGCGGTCCCACTTGTAGAGGAGGATGCGGAGCCGCCGCTTGCCCGGGCTGTGGCGCGAGGCTCCTGTGAGCCCCTGGAGTTAGGAGTAGGTCGTGGAAGCCGAAGGAGTGAAGGAGTCCCCCAGTGTGGGCTCCGGGGCTCCGATTCCCAAGGACGGAGGGGAGGATGGAAAAGGGAAGAGGACAAGGAGAGTGCCACTCTGTGGTTAGTCGCAGTGCCTCCGTCACCTGGGCTGGGAAGTTTGGGGCTGGGCGTCTCTCTCTTCATTACAGGGAAATGGGTAGTTTGGGGAGATGTGGGAGGAAGGTAGGAGTCGAAACTTGGGGTTCCGAGAGAGTTCTGCAGCTGAAAGAAGGGGAAATGGGGGCGGTGAGGCAGAAAGAAGGTCCCCAAAGTTTGCGCTTACCGGGAGCCTGGGGTGGGGGCGGGGGCGCTGGGTGAAGGTGTCAGTGCGAGATGGGAGGACACTGTGGGACTGCGGAAGGGACCAGGCGAAGGGGAGGGGGAGGACCATCTGCTTCGCCACTGTTATTTGCGGGGGCCCGTGGGGGAAGAAGGGAGAACTGGCAGGACAATGCTTCCCCAGGCTCTGGAGGACAAACAGTTTTTATGGTGAACCTGGTTGGGGGAGTGTTGTAGTCCTTCAAGGAAAATAAATTGCCATCAAGCCCTTGGCCCCCATGAGTACAAAATAAACACAGTTTTGGAATGCTTTCAGAAGTTCTTGGGTTAGGAAACGTCATCTTCATTTTATTTTCATACAGGGATGTGGTTTGCATTTCTCTCTGGTTTTGCTTTGCTCAGGAGCATCACACCAAGGTGAATGCAAACTTTATTAAGATGTAGCAAACAATGCTCAAATAGAAGAAATAAAACATTCGTGTTATGTAGGGTCCAGCCTCAAGCTTGGAGACCGGCAGCTTCAGAACAATGCATGAAGCCGTAGAAAATGCATTTATCAAATTAAAAAGAAGGCTTTTCATAAAGTCAATAAGTTAAAGGTTTTGGCTTGAAAGCACTCCCTTAAATATTTCAGGATCCTATTTCACCGGTTTTCATAGTCCTTTCATCTTATTTTGATGCCATCTGTGCATTGAGTATGTCCTGCCCCTTCCCTGTAATAAATAAATGCCCTTAGAATGCAAATGCTGCATTGGAATTCTCTTGTTACTTGAGGCTCTTAAGGTGGAAAAAAAAAATGTTTATTTACTCAAAAGTGTTGGTTGTAGTTCAGATTCTCTATCCCCGTAAATCAAATATTTGTGGATTTATAAATCACACTGCTACTCATTTCCAAAAGTGATTTGAGGAAGCTTGGAACGAAAACCACAAATCAAATAGCTATTCTTGTAGATCTCCTTGACCTCTCTTGGATGCATTTGTAGTAAAATGCATTTGAGAAGGTGAATTCTCCTAACAAAGGAAAAATTACTGCCCTCCCTGGAATGTTTGGCAGCATAATTCCTTATGTACTTCATTTGCATTATATTATTTTCCATTACGTAAGTAAGGATGTCTTTATAGAAGTTTAACCACTAAGCAGCATCTATATTAAAGAAAAGTACGTGGATATTTTATAGCATTTTACCAAATACACAGATTCACAGAGCAAAAAGAGAATGAACTTAACGTATCCTTCTTGAACTGAGGCAGAAAGGAAACCAAGGGAGGTGTCTCTTCTGCCATCAAACCAGAGAAGGAGCTGTCATTAGTACTTGTCACCCAAACATGGCCAATTAGAGAGACCTGTCAGCAGTTAGAGGATAACTTTACCAAGTGTTAACTATTATATGAGGATTTATAAAGGTATATCAGGTGTTCTCAGCGCTCTTTTCCTCAGGTTAATGACCTGGCTCAGTGAGAAAAAAAAAAAAAATTCAGGTAAACAAACACACCTCCAAAATGTGAAATGTCTACGGAGAATAATGCTGTGTGGAGCTCCCACCATGGAAGAGATAAGAGTCTTAAATCCCTCAACTGCCTCCCGTTACTTTAGATTTTTTTTTCTTCCAGCTGAATTTGAAGATAGCATTGCATGATTTTTAATAGCAACAATTTATATTTAAAAATATGAACAATTAGTTTACTTCTCACAGGAGTAATTGCTTCATTTATGAAAATCTTTGCTCACAGAAGTAAAGGGCAAAATTGGCTTTCTGCTGTTCCTATAAGATCCTGTGTCTTCCAGGATCTAAAGGACAATGAGCGTGTTTGTCCCAGTTTCCCACTGCTTTTTACTTCTGGGTTTTTATTGTAACACCCCCCCCCATTTCACCATCTCTATTTTACCATCTCCCCCAGTCCTGTCTCTTCCTGTGTGTCTCAATATTGCCTTTTCATCCTACCTTTGCTTTTTCATTTTTTTTTTCTGCAGTTTTCTCTTGATCCTCTTTGCTTTATAGATCTCCTTTTTGCAGGTTACTTTTTATTCAGTGATGTTCTTTTATTAGTGCTAGATTATTTTCCCAAAGTGGTATTCCTATCTCTGCTTTCCCTCCTAAATTTTATATTGACAATTTGAATCATCTGCGAGATGCCTCTATATTCCTCTCAAGTGCCTTAAACAGGTTTAAACTCTAATCGACATCTTTCTTCTTACGTGAAAAGAGGTGGTTCTGTCAATTTCTGTTTTCTCTCAGTCACCCAGGACCTTCCCAATATCACTGCTTCCCAAATATAATTCACAGATTAGTCCCATGGACCCTATCTCTACCTGATGTCTCATGATACCTGCTTCTCCACCTTTTTATTCCCATAGGGACTGTCTTTCTTCAGACTCTTAACTCTTTCTAGACACTACCCTGACTAGTTTCCCAGATCCAGTCTCTCTCATTTCCAATCCATTTTATACTTGGTTTGCAGAATAAGCTTCTTAAAGCAGAGCCAAGCTCAGTCATTGGCTAATAAACTTTTCCCCAGTGCCCTACCAAATAACATATAAACCTCATCTCTGACATTTTAAGACCCTTTGCAGTCCAGGCCAAAAGTGGCTCTACCTTTTTACTTTGATCTCATAGATTCACTCGTTCACTCCATTCATTCATTGCTTCTATGAATATTTGAGTGCCTGCCGCATGCCAGGCAGGGTTGTAGGTAATACTTTTAGAAGTGCCTTGTGTAGTAGCTCAGTGCTGTGCTGCACATTTTATTTTTCAGTGGTGGAATCCACGGTGAAAATATAATCTTATGGGTCCCAGCAACCCCACTGACCTCCCATCCCTACCCTTAGTAGTCATCACAGAGTCCTGAGTCTCCTTGAAACAGTTTGAAAACACTGCTGTAGGCAGAAGGCAGTGTTCCCTCAACACACAGCAGGCTTCTGAGTTCTGTATCTTTGCTTATGCTGTTCCCTCTGCCTAGACTAGGCCCTCCCATTTTCCCATAACCCATTTCTACCCTGCCAGGGAGTCAGTGCAGTGGCTCTTTGCGTCTCGGAAGCCCAGCTTCTGCTCCTCCAAACCCTGTAGCACTTCGAGTGGCCCCTTGGAACACAGGGGCATTGTCTCCCTTATGTATATGTGCTTTCTGCATTCTCCCCTGAGGGCGCCCCGCTGACCATGCCTAACCTCAGGCCTTCATTTCCTGAAATACCCAGATGAGGGCCTGGCAGATCGTGGGACATCAGCACGTAATTTTTTTTTTTTTTAAGATTTTATTTATTTATTTGACAGAGACAGTGACAGCGAGCGCAGGAACACAAGCAGGAGTGGGAGAGGGAGAAACAGGCTTCCTGCCGGGCAGGGTGCCTGATGTGGGACTCGATCCCAGGACCCTGGGATCATGACCTGAGCTGAAGGCAGACGCCCAACGACTGAGCCACCCAGGCGCCCCATCAACACGTAATTTAATTAGACTGAATTCTACCTAATTCTTTAGTCCCGCCTTCTGCCTGTGATAGCTACTTGTTTTCACAATTCAGTCTGGCTCTTACAGTAGAGCTAGTGCTTCTCGAATGTGAATATGTATCTAAATTGTGAGGAGATCTTATTAAAGTTCAGAGTCTGGTTTAGCAGGCCTGGAATGGGGCCAGAGGTACTGCTTTGCTGAGTTCCCAGCTGATGTTGAAACAGCTGATCCTTGAACTTGAGCAAGGTAGTAGATGATATTTCACAGTTTGGGGAGTTTCTGGCAGCCCCTGCCTCTCTATCTGGTGATTTTCCTCCAGTTAGTGTTTGTTTCCATATTACTTTCTATTCTGAAAGTATTTTAGGCCTGCACATGCTTCCCAAACCCGGGATGGAAGATGTGGTGATGCCCTTGAATTTTTTCCTTATTTTGCTGATACAGGGTTGCAATGGCTAGTTCTCCCTCTTGTATTTTTCTCTGGCCAGTTTTATTTCTTTGTTGTATATTACTTCTTATTTTCCCATTGTATTCGGATTGTGGTTGTTCTCCTTGCTCACTCTGCTGTGATTCTTTTTCTTTCCCGTGTTCTCTCTGGTTCTTAAAATTCTCTTCAGATGCCTTGGCCGACTCCCTGCCCCAACTGTTTTCCTGTTGCTTCCAAAATTTTTCTGTGAAAGGAGCCCTGAAATAGGGGGCTGGAGACTCCAGTTCTCATTCTGCCTTGACTGTGAGCATGAGATATTGGGCAAAACTGTTTCTTTCTGTTCTCTTCACTTGTGGATGGAGGTTGTGGATTACACAACCCCCTGGGTCTCCTCCAGCACTGGGACGACCATGCGTGAGATCTTCACAGGGGGCAGAAGGAGCAGCTTGGGGGAGGAAAGAAGGATCCTGTGGTGATTGTGGTGCTGCTCTGTGCCCTCATCTAATGTTTCTGTTCTAGATAAACAATTTGAACTTTTGTTCTTGTACCACTCAGAGACTCATGTTTC